TATATATAGGCTAGAACATCGTGTTCTCCGTTAGACTGTATATTCTGTTCGTCTGAACACGCTACTTATTATCGACGGCTGCGCGTTTCAAGATACGAGGGAAACAGCCTCGCAGGTGAGCAAAATTACGGATCCCCAATAGCAATACGAGGCAATGCATGACAGAGATTACTAGGTGGACTACGAAGCGGTGTCACAATTAAACGGACACAGTAATTAACAGCACACAATAGCTATGTTTAGTCTAATTCTAGGATCTATGCAAAGTAGAGAGCTTTCTAGACTGCAAACTCGGGCCAAGGCGTAAAGTGGGCTGGGTCGTGAAAGGTATGTGGTCGAAAAAAAAAAACTTGTATAAACAAAAGTGGGCCCGAAGGGCTATTATTTCAAATGTATGTATAATGGATGCTATGTGAGGCTCGATTGACATCTCATGAATCGGGTCGCAGTCTAGATAACGAGGCCTAGGACAGGTACCCATATAGTCAAAGTACTCTGACTCTACAGTTTTCATTGAAGTGTGCGTGTGTATATTCAAAGCAATAATGGACTGAAGAATGAACTATCAGCCTCTTAAATGATTATGGTAATGATATAATATATAGTAACAATATACAAACACGTTGTCGATGTGCCCTGTGGATGAGGGTTGACGCCTCTAGACGCTTTGGAAGAGAAAATCAGGTTGCCACCCTTGACTATATCTCGCACGTCTTGTACATAAGTCTGTTTTTTCTGTGTAAATTATATTTACGGCTGATGACGAGATTGTAAATAAATAGAGAGATCTTTAACAAGAGGAATTTGTGTTGTTCCTTAAGTATGTACTGTAGAAGATTTGCAACCTACGGAAGGCAACAATCATATATATAAGGACGCCAAGGTATACGGAGGTGTTTTCCGGCAAAATGAAATCCTCGTTCGGTACGAAGCACATTCATTGGCCGGGATAATCGTATTCTAGATACAGTAACAGTTCGTATAAAAACTTCATAAATACTTAAGTGATGTTCAACTATTGATTGTAATAAAAATTTTTTTTTCTAGAACGCATTTATAACGTAATACGAGATAATCGTTGAGATATTAAGTTTGCAAGTTAAGTAGCGCTGTCTTGAGTGTACTTCTAATGAATGGTACTATAGGTAGCAGTCCGACTTCTCTGTTCAAGTAACTCTAATAAATGATCCTAGTTGCGAATCCAGGCATCTGCTCCAAAAGCTAAGCACAGCCAAGGAGCGACAACTTGAAACAGGGGAATCAGACGACAACGCTGCCTGATCTTCAACCTCAAATAGAGGCTTCAAATCAAAGGCGGGCCTTGCCGTAGTCAGGATGGTCGCATACGGCACTCAATCGAGAGAAATATTTTCTTTGCCAACAAGCAAAACGGGAAACGGCTGATTGACGGTGGCCGACAATCAGTCGATTTTGTTCCATCTTTGTTGCAATGGCAGGCCCATTGATCAGCGAGTCAGAAAGATGACTTTTTTTGGCCCCACCATCTAGGTTACCTATCACCCACGCGTCTACTAGCTCAGAACTCCCCAAAAAAGGGACGCCAAAGCTGCTGGTGGTCGCAGAGCGTTTGGAACGTAGTAATTCACTCGTAATACACAACACCTCAGCTCGTCATATCAACCCGTCTGCTCGCCAGTCGTTTCCTTCTTTCTCTTTGCATTCCCTGAACTCTAATATTGACTCACGCAAGATCATCTTGTGTTGATCAGACAGTCTCAGGGTGTTTTTTTTCGTATATAAACGTGCATGCTACTGTATAGATTCTCCATAAAAATCCACTTTATTGAGAAGTGACACGCTCGCTCGAAGTTTTCGAACAGTTTCCAACAGCTCTGTCTTAGCTTATTTTGGGTAAAGAAGTTTTGCCTTACCAGCTCTGCGATCCTACGGCAAAGGTAATTTGTCGTCTCGTGGCCCAATAATCAGAACTGAGGCTCGATGCAGTAGTCCCATCTCGCGAGTTTTTGCGCACACACAGTTCACCACTCAGCCTGAAAGCAGCACTCGAAGCACCTCCAAGTGACGAGGAATTAACGTCATATGCCCTCATATGACTAGCGGATCGCGGATGACTTCAATCTAGTTCTCATTCAGAGACGTCGCTAAGCGCCGACAAAATCTAACTTGCTTGACTCATTTCGGAATTATTCCCCACAGCTTTGAACACCACACGCGGGAGGTGCAAAGACGCCCCCTCACCAACTCCATAGTCCATAGACCTAATATATTGGGTCTTAACAACTCTTCAGATACAAAAAGGTAAATAACAACAAAAAAAAAAGTACAGATAGTACTTATATCGATATCAGGTTGTTTATCTGGCGTCAAGCTGCTGCTGCTGCTACTGAGAAACAGGTCCGCAATACGATCGTCTCGGAATTCTAGAAAAACGACATGATAAAAGAAACCGAGAGACAAGAAATAAGCTTAAATAAGCGTCATATAGTTTCTATTGCCGTGTTATAGTTCTGATTGTTGAAATAAAAAATTCTAATTAGGTTTAAATAGACGACAAATAAATACAGGACATCGTATATCATGCTGAATATACAGGGCATTTAACGAGCAATTTTCTCACTTTACCGCCAATGACGAGCACGGTAATGGTAAGCAAACTCGGCTAGCCCCTGCCTGCAATCAGCCGATAGAGAGTAAGAAGAAATAGTAAGTTTAAAGCCGGTATAATCAAAGTAATATCTAAATATCAGCAACACGACCGTAGTCCATTTACCTTTCTTCAGAAATTGTCGCTAGCCATTATTTTAAACTTAAACTGTATGATATGTGGACAAGATTGCTATATGTAAACATTTTTTTTTGTTGGGGTGACACACACACTGTAAAAAGGGGGCTGCAGATAATCCCTATCCTGCGACAATACGATACTGCGTCAGTTTCGATAATGTACTTCCCCTGCAACGGCGGCAGACCCGGTAGAGTGGGTCGTGTTCATCATGTTGGCGTCGGTAGATCCCGGAAAAGCTCGTCCCTTCATTGCCTGACTCCAAGAAGATCACTTCTCGATTTACTCTCCAATATGAAAACCGGGTCTTCTCGGGAACGTGTGGAGACGGTGAAGTATCGATTTTCGAAGAATTATTTCGCCATTGAGTTCTCTTCGATAACTTGCAAATAGTTTCCAGACGCGATACATAATACTATTTAGCAACTGCCTGTCTGATTCATTGTATGGACTCGATTTAGACTGTATGTTAAAACAAACCTAAGCGGGAGAACTTCTCGTGTTGACTTTAAACGTCTCTTATGCACTAGCAAACCCACGAGACGTGGCACTAGGCAAAATGATTTGAATTAAAACGTTTTTTAAAATATCTTTCGGGTTGGTCATCGCTCAAATAATAAGGTGCCAATCCAAAAGGCAAATAACTACACAAATAATCGTTTGAACAAATAGGACCCTGGCCTTATTGGCTCAATTTGCTTGTCAAGTAGAGACGCGTTTCAGGAAACGTGTAACGAAAATGCGTAGTAAACATATCATGCAGTTACGTAATGAATATGGCGACAAAGCTAGTACGGGTGTTAGTACGCTGAAAAATATGACATAGAACGTTTCATGGCTAATTTTACTCGGAAAATTCAGTAAACGCGTATATTCATTGTTC